GACAAGCTCAGCACGCAGCACCTGTACCACCCGACGCAGGTGGAGATCGTGCAGTCCAACGTGGTGTTTGACATCAGCAGCCTGATGCTGTACGGCACACAGGCGGTGCCGGTCCGACTGAAAATCCTGCTGGACCGGCTCTTCAGCGTGCTGAAGCAGGAGGAGGTGCTGCACATCCTGCACGGCCTGGGCTGGACGCTGCGCGACTACGTGCGGGGCTACATCCTGCAGGTGAGCGCGGCCACGCGCTGCTGCGCACGCACACACACACACACACACACACACACACACACACGCGTGCGCACCGAGAGCCTGCCGCTTCCGTCTGCCATCATCCGAACACCGCATTCGGTCTTTCCACCGCGCACATGCGCTCCATATGAAATCGGATTCCTGGGGCCGTAGTGCCAACGGGCCCCCAGATTGCTCTTTACTGCTTGTAAGCTATTTCACTTCAATTTCGTCGACTCAGTATTATAGATGCCCCCCCCCCCCACCCCATTCCATGTACTGTTAGCAACATATCCCCCATGAAAGAGAAAAAAAAAAGGAGCAGGGGAATGTCACGCCAGCTGACTGTAAAACCACAACAACATGGCCCCCACCCTACTGCAAACCCCCCCCCCCCCCATTTAATTGGAATCAGACACGTTTCCTAATCAAAGATACAGGAGTTTGGTCTTGCAACAAACCAAAGTGTTCCTGAATGAATTAGTTTAGAGCAACTTAACATGTGGTTGTGGTTACCCCTGTGTGTCCAAAGTCAATACCAGAGTGAGGTGGATGTGTTTTGTTTTTGAGGCCCTGGGTAAGTGGATCAATATGCTCTACTCAGGAAGCCGGCTTGGACGCCATCTTCGCGGGCCTGGCCGCCCGGAGCCTGTGCCGGGATTTTTCCGGAACGCCGTTCCCGTGTTTCGGAGTGCCGAGAGCTGTCACGCTGTTGTTCCTTTCGGAATTGCCGTCTCTGCCGCGTTAGGAGCAGGAAATCGTTTTAACGTGCTCCTGGTACGTGGGGCCTATCCAGCTCCCGGAGGCTGTGAACAATGCCGAGGGCGGCCACACCGTGAACTCCGTGCCGTTTCTCACGCATGGAGTCAGATACAACGAGCGGCACTGCCCTGCATGACCGGGAGGCCGACATCTTCGCAGGGCTTGCCGGCGACCCGCGCCGTCGAGTGCATTGAAGGCAGGGAATTCCCACAATGCCTTATTAGTCTGTTAGTATGAAATTCAATTGGTTTGCCTCGTGGGCACGGGTTTGTATCAGCACTGCTTTTAACAACGCGGTATTAAATATTATTTTTCGTAAAGGGCTGCATTTACCAGTGTCAGCGACGTAGCAAAAAAGAGCACTATTGATGGGTTAAAACGAGGCAGTTTTACTGGACGCAAAGGAATGATTCGTGAAATATTATATTTTAAAAATTAATTAAGCATTATGCGTTATACTAAAAAATGTTAAACATTTACAGCTTAGAAATACATACAAACATATGTAGAAGCATTTTTGACCTTGCAGTGTATATTTATTTTTTCATGTAGTATGTTGAACTCAGGGTTAAACTCATTTTTGCAAATCACAGCCAATGTGTCGGAGGTGAAATGGAACGTGGGTCATGTGACCCCTGTGTCATCACCGGTGCGCCTCCTTATCTGCTCTGCTGTGGGCTCCTGCTTGCACATTTCCCCATATGGCAAATGGTCCCATGCATCCAGACGTGTTCTTCCACACAGAGGGCTGCTCACCCCCTAATTAATCCCCAGCCCAAAAGGTCCTATATTTTCTCTTTTTCCCTGAAGTTTTTGTTTTCTCTGTGTTTACCTGTTTCGTTTCTTTGTTTCCCTGTAATTGTTTTTCTTTCACTTGAGTTACCTGTTTTTTCCCCTTGATTTTTGTTGTTTTATTTTCTTTTGTTTCTTCTTATTTTTTCTTCCTATAGCTGTTGTTTTCTTTGTCTGTTTCTACTGTATCCTGTATCCTATATCTCTTTTTGTCTTCTTGTAACTGTTGTTTTCTTTGTTTGCTTGCATCGCTTTATTATGTCTTCCTGTGGCTGTCCTTTTCATTCATTTTGTTTACCTTTCCTTTGTCTTCCTGTAGTTTTTGTTTGTTCATTTCGTTTACTTGTATCTCCTTTGCCTTCCTGTATTTTTCATTTTTGTTCATTTTGTTTATATGTATCTCCACTGTATTCCTGTAGTTTTTTGTTTTTGGTCATTATGTTTAGCTCTATCTCCTTCCTTTGTCTTCCTGCATTTTTCATTTCAATTCATTTTGGTTACCTGTATCGTTCCTTTGTCTTCCTGTAGCCTTCATTTTTGTTCATTTTGCTTACCTTTGTCTCTTTCCTTTGTCTTCCTGTAGTTTTCCTTTGCCTCTGGGTACCTGCTGTGTTTTTCCCCATGCCTATTTCCTTCTCCCTCCTTGCTAGCAGGTATTTTAGGGGAGGGAACATGATGACCAAGGCACAAAGCTGGTAATCAGGGTCCCAGCATGTGTTCCCCAAAGTCAGGGGCGCTAGGTTAATTTGGAGCATGTGACCATGTCAATCCCAGGTCTGTCCACTCACCCAGTCTAATGTCCGCTTACAGTCAAAAACTCAACCTATTCCTCACTGTTAATGTGGGTTAGCCACCATCCAGGCTCCGCCTGCAGTAAGAGATGAGTGGAGTTTAAATGTCGGTTCCAAGGCTCTGAGTGGCATGAAACAGAGCGGATTATAGGAATATATAAATCCTACATGAAGATGCGTATATAAATTCTTCCACGTCTGGTGAAAATCAATGACTTGTCCAGAGGTGCTCAGCAAAACGAAACGGCAGATATGCTCAAGTTTAAAAACATCATAAATTCCAAATCCGTCCAAACGGTGTCGGCCGCTCGAAGGTCGGTCACTGCCGGTGACACGTGCGTCTGCACACGCTTGCACTCTCGCACGCTGCTGAGTAGGTCAGGTCCGTGTTCGCTGATTGGTATTGATGCCCCTGCTCAAAAAGTGACTGACCTGTGCACTTTTACTCCTTACTGATGACAGACAAGCGGTCCGCACTTAAATGACCCGCCACTTTAATTCTGTCACTTGCGGCGTCTGTGTCAAGCCCAGACGTCCAGGGAGTCGTTATCCTACCCGGCAGACGACCCGCCACTGCTAATGACTCCACCAGCGCCTCCTGATGGAGGATCACACACACGTCCCCCCCCCCCAAGTTAAAGACATAACCAAACGACACTTCAAAGAGGGGCTTTGTCTAGTAAAAGCGGACCGATCACGTAGAAACCGACGGACCCTCGGTTTGGACTCGTGTTATAGGCTGTGGGTAACTTCACGGGCCATTTTAGAGGAATCTGCCAGTTTGTCTGTTTTTACTGCAGAACGTTACCATGCGACAGCACAGCACAGCACAGCACAGCACAGCACAGCACAGACTCCCAGTAGCTGTTGCACCTGTTGATAATGTAGTACTGTGATTACAACTGCAGTGAACGTTAATGGTAACAATTATTATTATTATGATCATGTAATATATAATAATTATGATAATGTATAGTAATAATTATCAGCTGACACTGCTCATTCCTCCTGTTCCAGCTGCAGACAGTCGACTCCCCGCCCCCGCCCCCCCCCCAGTTCCAACCTTTTTCCATCTTCTGTCCAGTCAGAAGAACATTAGAGGGTGTGTCTTCACTCACTTGCAAGCCCCTTGGATGGGGATCTGGCCAATTCCCCCCCCCGACCCCTAGATGTTAAGTCCAAACCGAAATGGGTCCCCCCTGTGCCAGCATACCCTTCTCCTTCTCCCCTGCCAGCTTTGACCGCACCCCCTCCCCACCCCAGAAATCTCATGTGCTTCCAAGTCAACCCTGTAGGCTGGAAGTGGAATGTGGGGGCCCATGGCCATGAGACGCAGATGCGGGGCCAAACCCTGGCTGTCGCTGGGCCCTGCCGCAGCAGATGGATTTCATATCAGCTGGGCTCCGCTCCGAGGAACCGGCCCCAGGAACCGACATGTGGAACCTGGGTCAGGACACAGATCAGGCGAATGTTCTGTCCTTGTACAACATTTGTGTTTCCTCTTCTCGTTTATGCAAAGAGGCTTTCCTGACTCAGTTGTCGTTCCAATCGGCCAGATGGAACCGCTGCTGCCTCGACCCGCCCGCGCTGCCTCCCTCGGGGACGGCCAGCGGTGACTCGTGGCGGGCAGGGGGGGGNCCCCCCCCCCCCCCTCCTCATTGAACACTAGGGTTCTAATTTAGTTCTAATTTAAAGTCTTAATGAGCTCTCCTAGGTTGTTTTCAAGGGTAATCTCCGCTGAAATGAATCATTTCTTGCTCCTTTGCTTTAAACGAGCAGGACCCAGAAGACTGAGCTGGAAGGTGTCGCCCAGCAAACACGGCGGCCATTTTGGCTGCTGGCCCTTCGTGTTTCCTTGCCGTCGTCATTATATTTTCCACCCCTGCCGCTTTCCGTCTCTGGTCTCTGCGCTTGACATAGGCTGGCAACTCAGGGAGATGGTTACTATATGGTAAGATGACCCGCTGTTTTTCCATTTCCCTTCATTTAGCGCCGATCGCCGTCTTTCTTCCAGTTTGTGGTTTTAGTGGAAGTATATCGCTTTCGTTTTCCTGTTCTCTATGGTCCTATTTCGGTGACTGACTGTTTAGAAGGAGGGTGCACATCATCTCTGCCCACCATCCTGGAAAAACAGAGTGGCCGATTTCCCAATTGTCGGGCGTGATTAATAATTTGGCCACGTTCGGCTTGTTTTCGCTTCCTTCTTTGTGCTCTCTGTAGTAAAGCTAGTCTGAGCCCATCTCAGTCGAGGCAGCGTGAGGCGGTCCTGGTCGAACCCGGCAACAGAGGCGTAGTGGGATGCTCAGGAAACACGGGTTCGAATTACAGCAGCACAGGCAGCGCACTCCTCCTCCGCAAAACTCTTGGGAAGCACGCTTTTCTTTTCCAGGCCTGTTTCTGTGTAAGAAAGTACTGCCCAGCTATAAAAGTGAAATAAAGTGAAAATAAATCTAATATGCCCCCCACAGCATTTCAGTGAGCCCCCCCCCCCCCCCCCCCCCCCGCCCCTCGCTCCTCCAGAGGGGAAACGACTTGATTGGGAACATGTTCCGTTAGCAGATGCAGCTGTGGCACCGCGGCCTCGCAGATAAGCTGGCGTGGAGAGAAATTAGCATGGGGGTGGGGGGGGGGGCGTTAGCGTGCCGTTAGCGGTAT